TTGTAACGTTGTTAATTATCTAATAAAAAGTCCCCGGCCAAGAGGTCACCTTAACACCGAAAAAAAAAAAAAAAAACCTGCTTCTATCTTGGTAAAAGCTATTTCTTTATACGCATACATACCTGCTTACTAAAAAAGTGAATATCGATAATAATATTAACACACTCATATTTGGCTAGTATTAACTGATCTACACTGGTTGGCCTAAATTACGATTACATAATTTAGGCCTAGTTGATATCTGATCAAGATTTAAATAAAATTATCTTTTATAGCGGCATTATTAGTTTTTAATTTTTTTCTAATTTCTTTCTAATTTTTTTACACTTTTGTACTTTTTTCTAATTTCTTTATACTTTCGTACTTGTTGGTCTGGTGTTTTTCGTTAGCCTTATATTTTACAGATTTCTTTTTTTTTAAATTACTATTTTTATAACTGATTGCTCTTTTCTTCATTGTTAAAGCTTTGTAATTTGTTTTGGTAAGCAGTTACCAATTTTTTTTGGCTTATTATTTTCTTAGTATTTGAAATTTAGATCATCTTTGTTTACTTTTTGTTTGCTAATTTTATTACCTTTTCTCTTGGTAGATATATCTCAATTCGTTTAACAAGTAAAATCTGGAACAACAATATTCAAGATGAAACATTTTATTTCCATTATCATAACCCATACTTGTAAATCTTCAATAATGAGTAAATCTTTTATTTTATTTTTTTTTCTCATTTCATCCTTCTAAGGGCATCTAAGTTGTACATTTCATTAGCTTTATTTTTTTTTTGATTACTTCATCTCAGTATTTCTACTTACTATCTTTACTTTTCGTAGATTATCTATTCTAATTTTAATTCCATTAACACATGTTATATTATAATCTCTCAGAACTTCATTATTCACCATTTGTATATTGGATAAGTGCTCTTTTTTCAACTCTTTTGTATTTTCTTTTTTTTTAATCTATTCATTTTACTAACTTCATTTACATCTTGGATTTCAAATATACTATTGAATGGATCCTCCAATCTTACAACTCTTGTGATCTTGAATTGTTTATTTAATGATAATTTCTTATGATCTATACCTTGCTGTTATAATGCTCCTTTCTATTTATGACTCGTTTATTCTTGATATTATATTATAATCTCTTGAAACTTCATTATTCACTATTTGTATTCGGATGAGTGCTCTTTTTCCAACTCTTTTGTGTTTTCCTTTTCTTTAATCTATTCATTTTACTAACTTTATTTACATCTTGGATTTCAAATATACTATCGAATAGATCCTCCAATCTTACAACTCTTGCGATCTCGAATTGTTTATTTAACGATAATTTCTCATAATCTATACCTTGCTGTTATAATGCTCCTTTCCATCTATAACTCGTTTATTCTTGATATTATATTATAATCTCTTGGAACTTCATTATTTACTATTTGTATTCAGATGAGTGCTCTTTTTCCAACTCTTTTGTGTTTTCCTTTTCTTTAATCTATTTGTTTTATTAACTTCATTTACATCTTGAATTTCAAATATACTATCGAATGGATCCTCCAATCTTACAACTCTTGTGATCTCAAATTGTTTATTTAATGATAATTTCTCATAATCTATACCTTGCTGTTATAATGCTCCTTTCTATCTATAACTTGTTTATTCTTGATATTATATTATAATCTCTCAGAACTTCATTATTCACTATTTGTATATTAGATGAGTGCTTTTTTTCTAACTCTTTTGTGTTTTCCTTTTCTTTAACGTATTCATTTTACTAACTTCATTTACATTTTGGATTTTAAATATACTATCGAATAGATCCTCCAATCCTACAACTCTTGTGATCTCGATTTCTCAGTGATCTATGCTTTACTGTTATAATGCTCCGTTCTATCTATAACTCGTTGATACACTAAATCTTCAAATTCACTTACATTTCTAAATATTTTCACAGGAGTTTTATCATATGTTTCTTTGAGATACGTCTTTCCTTGTTAATGTTTTTTGGGTACTTACATTTTCACGAATCTCATAAACCTTATAACATTCACTTCTTTTCTTCAGGTATGATGTGGGCAAGTACAAGCAATATAGCCTGGTCTTCGACATTCATAACATATTTAGCCTAAGTCAATGGTACTTTTGCTCTATCTTTAATTCCTTTTAATGTATAAACCTATTTAGCCACAACACAAACTAGTGAAACTAACTTGTTAATATTTCTTATTATTCTTTGAACCAATGACAGGTTATATTCTTTTATTTTATTTTTTTTTATTCTTATTATTTATTATACTTTTTAATAACAATTTACTTTTAATTTTTTTCATAACATTTAATTACTCAACAATTCTCATTGGGGTACCGAATTCTAACAAACACGACTCTTTATAGCACAAGTTAACGAATAAGGCTGATTTTTATCCAGGTTTTTATGTTAGATTATTTCTAAATTACTGTGTAATCATTGACTTTCTCTGTACAAATTTACTCTCCTAACTACTACATAACTATTGTATTATACAGGTTCTATCTCTCTATATCTTAGTAACTATAGTATTGATGATCACAAAGATTAAGTCTCAAGTTTATCTACTAGAATGTTTATTACTCAAAGCTAAAGATGTAAGTTCTTTATAATCAATTAATCATATTGCATGTATTTGATTATCTATATTAGACTATTAATTAACTTGTGCATTATTAATGCTATTTATAATCCAACAGACCATGACCAACTGATACTCAATGCTACGAATTCCTGGATTACCAAAATCCACTATCAGTCAGGGAAGATGTCACACCGAGTGACAAATTATTATAAAAATTATAATAAAAATATATAAATTTACTATAAACTTTAAACTAAAGATCCTTTTAAACCTACATATTAACTTATTTTCAAATTTTGAACTTAAATATATTGAATATAGTAGAATAAA